ATACTCTGCACATGTTAGACACAAGAAGAGCCCAAAAAGCAAGCGTCCGCACACAAAACCCGCCAAACAACCAAGAATTAATCGTTTGATGCATACTAAAGCATTAATAAGGTGATATGTGTCACTATAGGAAATCATCATCGTTGCAAACATAAAGACATTAAACATAACCCTTTGCTTCAGTACCGTCAACGTCCATGTCCATGGGGAGGGGCTTTTGCCCCTATCTCACGCATGACCACGAAGTACTCTAATACATTTTCACCCACTTTTCATCTCCGAGCGCGCAGCGTTTCATGAATGACCTCACTGTTTTCCTTTTCCTGGAGTTCTTCCGTCACCGTTAGATACTGGCCTCCGATCAATTGCCTTCTGTCACCGCGAGATGCACGACCATGATAAACGCTTACGTTTGCCACACTCTCAGCGGTATCGTTTTCCGTCTCGTCCATAACATTTTCACCAATCGAACTTAGCGCATCTCTGCGAACCGAACCACCGTCACCGATACTGCGATCGTCTTCATAACCCGGAGCACCACGATTTCCATCCGTGTTGTCACCCCGGAAACTACGATTGCGATTAGGCGTACTTGCCACCGGTGGCACAGGATACGTACGACTCATATGAAGTTCGTGCGACAAGCGAGTATTGTCAACCCTCAGGGACTGCATTTCAACACGCATTTCACCCATTTGTTGAGTGAGATTTGCGATCGTTACATTCGAAAAATTCAACTGGTCCACCAAACGAGCGAACGTATTGTCACCAACTAACACCGAAAAATACGAGCTATGCAATCGGCTGGTCCTTGGGTTTGTTAAATTTATCAGTCTAACATGTATCTGAGTAAAAATTACCAATTGGAACTGTTTTTCGATATCATTATTGACTTTGATGATTACTTAGCTACTTTACCTCCAAATTTGAATCGACGCAGACATCGTAGGCATTTTACCCGTTGCAATTTGTTAGAATTACCTCGTTTACTGAGCAAACGTGCAATGACCAAGAAATTTCAGGCCCATAAATTCGGCCCGAAACCACCGGGGATCGTTTCGCATAAAATAGCGATAAAATAAACAACTCTAATCCCTTCACGCCAATCAATCTTCCCGAAAAATAGTCCACGTCTCGACCCGAACCTAGGACGCGATCATTGTAAAACGACTTCACAAATGTCGGAGTACCATGCATTCACCCCCAAACCACCGCGCGCCGCACCGGAAGACAAATGAGTGGACATCAATAATGGCATTATTATCACCCCGAAAAACTCGATTCAATCGACTCGCTTTCAACTTTTCTCACATCCTAACCTATAAAACCTCCAATCGGACACATACGGCGAAGTACGACGAGTGCGTGTTGTGATGTGTGGGGTGCCATTTCCGGCTTTCTCGAGCGGAGGAGACTTTATTTAACTTTAATGAGCTGTGAATTATTTATCCGGTATGGCTCCGCGCCACAAATTCGGTAAAGGACAAACCACTTTTATGTTTCGAAAGTCCATTCATTCCGTAGACTTTTGTCCGTAAATTTGTTCCTAACTCCCATATGGACGCTAGAGGACAACGGAGAGGCGTTAATAAATGTCATCACGATCATAAAAGATGCCCGGCGAAGTCGATTTCAACTCGCAATAACGGACTCTGCGCTGTTGTCACTTACACCCTCCACCCGCCACCATTGCTGGATGCAGGGTGAACCTTTCGGTTCTATTTTTAATAAAATTCCACCGAATCAATTTAGCTTCTGTTAAATTGAGCCCATTACAATGGCGGGAACGATTGGCTTCATGCCAAAGTAGAGCGGAAGTACCACGTGCTAATATTTTTCGCGCCAAACAATCGTCTCGGATTTTTCCCGCACCGTTGGAGTGGAAGAATTTTCGCTCCCTTCGCAGCAGAAGAGCGGAGGCGATGACAATTGAAAAATTATGCAAAATAGGCCAATAAATTACGAAATTATTTGATAACAAACAACAATGTTTCCGTGGCTGGCTCGGGATGCTTCTCGCGCTTGCTGGGTACGTTAGCCTAGGGTGAAGGCGGTGGTGGTGGAGATAACTTCCTGCGATTTTTTTCTACCGTTCGTTGCTCCATATTATTCTTGGCACTGATAGCTAATAAATAGAAGAGGATATTAAAGGAAAATCTGGTCCCATGAACATCAGGATGTTGGGAGAACGATACCGTGAAGTGCATGTATGCAAATTTCGTCGGAAGGGCAAAGAAACCGTTGGGCTCGTGTGTGAGAAGATGCGGAAATACGTTCAAAAATTGATCGTACCTGATTCGGTATAGGGTGTTTTAGAAAGTATAAGTACATTTATAACAAAACGCTATTTCGTCTAGGAAAAAATCGGCATTCGCGAAACCTTCTCCATTCGAAAAAATGGGACTTTTCCCGTCATTTTGGCATACTTAAACCATAGGGGATTTGAGCTAATTGGGGGCAAACTCTTATTGTAGGGTAACTTGAAGAGGTAAGTTCCTGGTGTCTACTGCAAAGTTATTAACAAGATAGATGACCAGGTTTTGGGAAAACTTAGGAATTTCCGGAAGAGCAGAACATCCGTAAAAGTGGTCAATTCATGAAACTGATCCCAGAATTTCTCGTTTTTTTTAAACCAATCATATACGTCTTATTAGAATGATTTCGGAATTGTGACCGGAAAATGACCCTGAAGACCATGTAATGGTCCTTTGAAAGAACCGGAACATCCAGAAAAGTGGTCAAATAACGAAACTGACCCTAGTGCTCCGTGTTTTTTTTTCGAAACCACTCATAAACGTATTATCAGAATGAATACTGAGGTATGACTGGAATAGGAACCCTGGATACCACGGTATGGTCCACCAGAAGATCCGGAACATTCGTAAAACTGATAAATTCATGAAACTGATCCTAGAATTCAGTGTTTTTTTTTTGAATCCGCTAATAGACGTCTTGTCAGAATGAAATCGAAGTTGTGACCGGAATTTGGACTCTGCGGACGGAAGATCCGAAACATCCGTACACGAAACGAAAATTAATTATTTTATTCAAGTATTTCACTCATACATTGTTGCCAAAACATCAGCCTTATACATTCCATAAGACAAACCACATAAAGGCTGACTAAAAGTAAATTGGTACGCCCCTCGCGCTCCACTAGCACGCCTCTAGTGTTGGGAAACAAAAATCTTTGATAGTGTTTTGTTTACACTTCTAAAGAGAAAAACTGGTGCAAGTTTCATCAAAGTAGTCGATCGCGTTCAGAAATAACGTCACATGGTACTCGAAAGAGGGGCATCCCTTAGCTCAGTCGGTAAAGGCGCAGCTATAAGCAAGACCATGCTAGAGGTGGCTGGGTTCAATTCCCGGTCCGGTCTAGGAATTTTTCGGATTGGAAAATTTCTCGACTTCCCTGGGCATAGAAGTATGATTGGATTTGCCACACAATTATACCAATGCAAAAATGGTACAGGCATCGAAAGCTCTCAATTAATAACCTCCACCTACTCGACTGTTCTGTTATCCACCGCCGTGGTAAAGGTCCACGGCCCGTCAGGGAGATCTACATTTGTTCGAACCCTGTTAAGATTCCTGCTTTGAGTCAAACTTCATCACCGAAAGAATCGTTCAACTTTTGGGATTGAACCGACAAAAGCAAGCTGCAATTATCGCTGGAATGGGTGGCTCTACTGTCAACAGTACCTACTGCACCGTAGCAGATTTCAGTTCTGTTAATTCCACCTACTCTAACACACTGACGTTCAGCATCCTCTCCAAGATCACCAACGATCTGCCTTCTCGGGCAGTTGACATTTCGCAATGGAACCTCCCTCCTGAGTTAGTCTTGGCAGACCCAGATTTTGCTTCGCCGCAACGGATCGATATGGTTATCGGTGCTCAGCTGTTCTTCAGCCTTCTGCAGGATGGACAGATCCCAGTAAATGCAAGTCCTTCTGAACACCAGCCTACACAGTTCGAAAAGTAGTGTAAATTTCTGTTCAATATGATGCACACAAATGGAGCGTCATATTTCATATAAGTTTACATTATATATCATGTAAAGTTCTAGCACAATTCATGCAATGTAGCAAATATTGTATACAAACCCTATCTTTGTAAACAATATTGTTTACAAGTTGCTCGGTTGTGTGAAATTAAATTTAAGTTTACGTGAATGAATGTTTACATCACAATTAAAATTCAGAATTTTTATCTGTGTATTCTCCAACGTACCGTGCTCGGATGGGTAGTAAGTGGACCTGTTGCCATCGATACGGCTACCCAAGGATCTGAGCGAGTCGCTTTGTTGTGTACCACCGATGATTTAGACCAACAACTGACTCGATTCTGGGAAGTCGAGAGTTGCCCTCAAAGCCGTGGGCTGTCTAAGGAGGAATTAGCTTGCGAGATGTACTTTTCCGAAACCACCACCCGCGACAAATCAGGCCGATACGTTGTACGCCTGCCGAAGAAAGAGCACGTCTTGAGTCAACTTGGTGACTCCGAGATCGGTGCTCTCCGCAGATTTCAATGGATGCAACGTCGACTCAGCAAGAACCCCGATTTGAAGACCCAGTATGTCGACTTCATGGCAGAGTACATAGAACTTGGCCATATGGTTCCCGTAGATCCGTTACAAGACAAAACCCATACCCGCTCGTTCTATCTTCCCCACCACGCTGTGCTCAAGCCGAGCAGCACTACCACGAAGTGCAGAGTGGTTTTCGATGGGTCCAGCAAGTCTTCTACGGGAATCTCTCTCAATGATTGCCTTATGGTGGGACCGACTGTTCAGGATGCATTATATGCTATTGCCATCAGGTTCTGCATGTACGAAGTGGCTTAAGTTGCAGATGTTACCAAGATATATCGCCAGATGTGGGTACATCCTGACGATAGGCGTCTTCAGCTCGTGTACTGGCAAAGCAGGACTGATTCACACGTCCATCCCTACGAGCTGACCACGGTAACATACGGCACCGCATGTGCGCCGTATCTAGCTAATCGGTGTCTACAGCAATTGTCCTACGATCACTCGGCGAGCGAAACCGATGCTGCAGCACGAATCGGCAAGGATTTCTACGTGGACGATTTCCTCAGCGGTGCTGACACTGTGGAAGAAGCAACTCAGCTGCGTTCTGGAGTGCAGCGCATCCTCGCGTCCGCAGGGTTCGAACTTCGAAAGTGGTCGTCGAATTCGTCCGAAGGATGATAGGCCAATTGTCGCAGTTGATGACATCCAAGGCTCCGTCAGCACACTCGGTCTGCTGTGGCACCCTGAATTGGATACCTTCCGGTTCAAAGTTCCTGAGCGATTCTCTGATAATCCGATTTCGAAACGAATCGTCGTCTCCGAGATGTCCAAACTCTTTGATCCATTGGACTTCATGGGTCCGGTGGTCATCACAGCCAAAGTGTTTGTCCAACAACTTTGGAAGTTAAAACTAAGCTGGGACGAGGAGCTTCCCAATTCACTCTGTACCGTGTGGGAAGACTACAGACTTGGTCTGGCTGCTCTAGGAACATTTTCCATCTCTCGTTTGGTCAAAGCTCCAGGCGCCGGAGACAACGTGCAACTTCATGGGTTTTGCGATGCATCCCGAAATGCTTACGGAGCATGCATCTACTTGAGAAGTGTCGGAAGAAGTGGTGTCGTCACAACCCGTCTCCTAACCGCCAAATCCCGAGTAACTCCAATCCAAACCTTATCAATTCCTCGTCTAGAGCTCTGCTCTGCTGTCCTCCTCAGCCAACTGTACCAAACTGTTATGTTAAGCCTCAACATAAATGCTAATGTTTATTTTTGGTCTGACTCTTCAATCACTCTCCACTGGTTGTACAACCCACCGTCCAACTACAACACTTTCGTGGCAAACCGTGTCGCGGACGTGCAGCGACTCACTGAAGGAGGCACTTGGAATCACGTCGCCGGTCTGGAGCACCCGGCCGATCTCATCTCGAGGGGTTTCGATCCCTGCGAGCTCGTAAACAATGCACTATGGTGGAAGGGTCCACCGTGGTTAACGTCCGATCCAGTGGAGTGGCCAAGTATGTTTCCAGTCCAAGACGCCTGTGAATTTCCTCCCGAAGTTCTCGAGGTTAAGCTTCGTACGCTTGCAGCCGTCACTCGATCCACCGAAGCTCCCGATCGCACACTGTTCACCCGCTACTTGTCACTAACAAGACTCACCCGCATCGCTGCATATTGCCGCAGATTTGTGCGGTACTGTCGGGCCAAGCTCGCTGGATTCCACCTACAAGCTATTCCGTACCTTACTTTAGCAGAACTCCTTCAAGCACAAGAAGGCCTTGTGAAAGTTGTGCAAAATGAGTGCTTCAGCCAAGAAATCGCTATGCTTCAGGCCAGATGCGAAGCGGATCTCAAGAAATCCCCATTACGTATCTTGAATCCCTTCATCCACGATGATGTACTTCTGGTCGGTGGCCGGCTGAACCACTCTTCATACTCGTTCACGCGCAAGCATCCAATGCTTTTGCCTGCAGCGCATCCGTTCACCTCACTGCTCGTTGATTCGGTGCACAAGCAGCTTCTCCACGCTGGTCCACGTGCGATGATCGCACACATCCGTGAACAATATTGGCCATTAAACCTCCGTAACCTGGCAGCACGGAGACACGTCAAATCCTGCTTGCGTTGTTACCGCACACGACCACAAGCAGAACACCAGCTGATGGGCCAACTTCCGAAAGTTCGCATCACTCCGACCCGTGCGTTCCTTAACACGAGCGTTGACTTCTGTGGTCCCGTTTGGCTGAAGGTACCAGTACGTCGAACGAAACCAGCTCCACCGATCCGAGCATACGTCGCTGTATTCGTATGTATGGCTACGAAGGCCGTAGCTGAAACGGTTCGTTGCACGCCGAGGCAAGCCAATCGCTCTGTTCTGTGACAATGCCACCAACTTCAAGGGCGCAGACAGGGAACTCCGAGACCTCTGCAAGCAACTCAACGAGCAACAACTACGACTGAAGATAGCATCCATCCAGTTCGACATTCGGCGGCCTTTGGGAGGCCGCAGTCAAGGCTTTCAAGCATCACTTTCGGTGAGTCGTCGGCTTGGAATCCCTGTCAAGCGATGTAATGTGTACCATCCTTTGCCAGATAGAGAGCTGTCTCAACTCTCGGCCACTGACCGCCCTATCTGAAGACCCAAGTGACACGGAAGCCCTCACACCGGGACACTTTCTGGTCGGATCAGCTCTCCAATCAATCCCGGAGCCCGACCTTGCCCAAGTTCCCAACAACCGGCTTTCGCTTTGGCAGGAGGTGCAGCGCAGAACCCAAACCTTTTGGAAACTCTGGTCGACGGACTACCTTCATCAACTGCAGCAGCGTACGAAGCACTACTACCGGCAGCCGAATGTTCTGGTCGGCAAGCTGGTACTCCTGAAGGACGACAACCTACCACCGCTCAGGTGGAGCATGGGTCGAATCGAAAACGTCCATCCCGGCGCGGATGGTCTCGTCCGTGTGCTGACCGTCAGACTGGCATCCGGCGCAGTCTTCGACCGACCGATCGTGAAGATCTGCCTACTTCCCATCGACGATGACGCAAGTTCCACCTCCTTCTTCTTCTTCGCATTTCAAGCTTATTGCATATCGCATATTAGCTTATTGCGTGCTCTCAACTTAGTGTTCCAGATGCACTTCCACAGTTATTAATTGAGAGCTTTCGATGCCTGTACCATTTTTGCATTGGTATAATTGTATGGCAAGTCCAATCATATTTATATGCCCAGGGAAGTCGAGAAATTTTCCAACCTGGAAAATTCCTAGACCGGGAATTGAACCCAGCCACCTCCAGCATGGTCTTGCTTTGTAGCTGCGCCTTTACCGACTGAGCTAAGGGAGGCCTGGTGGCCCTGACGACAATGCAGCGCCCGCTGCCAACCCAGGTGATTGATTGTGAAGTATTAGTTAAGAAGTGAATTTATTGTTAAATTTAATGAAACACATTTTTCATGGTGGCCGGTATGTCACGGACAACGCGATGGTCCGAGATACCACTGCACAAGCGACACAGAACAAGCAGAAATCTAAATGTATTGTACCCACACGCCGCACAGAATTGTATTTCGCTCTACACTCCACACAGCAGGAATACACAAGCAGCTACATCACATAGGAATATCCTCCCGGCTCGATCACTCTCGATCGAGTCGGTAGGTATAAAAGTACCGGCACCAAACTTCACCTACATCAGTAAAAATCGAACCATTATACGAATCACATCCGTTCAATATATAATTACGGGATCAGGGCCGCGTTCGGGATTTTAAAAAACACTTAGCACTGCATTAACTACTTATATTCAGGAAAAAGATACACTTCTTACTTCACTAACGTCCGAAAGGTAAAAGAGAGCGTGAACCGCTTCGATACTTCCTTTTGTAGACTATAGTTGCTGACTCGGATGATCGGCAACTGCGCTGGACTCTCCGGGTCGATGGCTGGAACTATTGCTGACTCCAACAGATTCCTATGGTTGGTGGATGGCTATGTTGAACTCGATGTTGCTAAGGGTCGGTGATTGCGGTTGTATTAGTGGTCGGCGTCGATGCAACTCCTCGGGGGGGTGAAAAAGTGTCGTCCTCGGCACTTGGCGTCTTCAGGGTTTTATCCTCAACTCTTTGAACTTCCTCAGGCTCCTCTTTTCTTGATTTCTGTTTTCGTCTCCTTAAATTAGATATTCTCCTGGCTACTCTGTCGATTGACCGTCTAAGATAGATAAGGATGAGCATTATCAATATGATTGTCGTTACTGACAATCCTCCAAAAAGACTCCAAATTCGCGTCTCGTTGTTGAACTGCTTTAGAGACACATGATGAAGTAGTTCCCTGTTGATCAGTGTACGGTTGTCTATCAGGGTAATATTTAAATCGTTCTGTAACCAGCTGTTAATTGGAATGTTGTGTAGTGCTGCTTGAATGAACTGATATTTTGATGTTACTTCCTTTGAATTATATGTTGTGTTCCCAAATTTAACCGTGCAATTTGAAAATGTGACTATAAAATTTCCGGTCAGGTTTCTATTGTCTGCTCCACAAGTTGATGAGATTGTGCTGTTTCCTGCGTTTGTTATTAAAATGGTGTTGTCGGCTATTAGTTTTCCTTCTATACGATGATCTGTCTTGGTGATGCATTGAGCAACTCTACCCAGTATGAGTGGTTGAATGCAGTTGTCTGAGAATTCTTGAATGAATGAATGTCGTTGCACGTATTCGGTTGGTTTGCTTGTTGTGAGAAGCGATTTCTTGTGCTTGATTAAGAACTTCGGGTGCTCCTTGATGATATTGTTGTTGATATTTAACGGGAAAATTTGGATGATATCGGCTTCTTCCGGTTCCAGTTGTGGTACGTGTAATATGTAGAGAAGCGAGTTTTTACTGACTGCTATCTTCGGCGTTACGAAATAAAATGCCTCGTCGGGTAGGTCCACTTTTATTCCCTGTTCCTCTAGTAGCGTCCTCATTGTGTTGATTTCCTTCATAGACAATATTCTCGTGTTGACGGTAAACGTTTTTGATAAGATTATAGTGTCCTGAACGTCCAGTAAAATTTTGTTAATTGTGTCGATATTTAGAATTGTAATAAGTGTCTCAATTTCGTTCAGAACTATTTTGTTAGTGTATGAGTTTTCTACTATCTTATTAACGGTGTTTGTTAGACTTTGTAGCCTTGAGTTCATTTGTGAATTGATTTGGTATTGTTTGTTGTTTTCAGTAATGAGGTCGTTCATAGAGCTGTTTATGATGCGTAGATCCTGTGCGTCGGGGTTTCCTGCAATCCACTTCCAGGCCGTACCGAGTGTGTCCCACCGTTTACTTCTAGTAGTTGATGTGGGTTTTATTTTATGAAAATTACTGTACAATTCGTTTAGTTTTTGTCTCACTATTTGGGTAAGTGGGTTAGTAATCTTCTCGTAAACTAGTGTGGTAACTAATTGCATGGTTACTTCTATATCCGTTAGGTTTATAGGATGTATTATTCTTATTGTTCCTGTTTATATCTTGCATTTTCCAGTTTTCATTATAAGGATGGGATCGTTGCTCAAATGTTTGATTCCGAGATCTTGACTGTATATTCCTAATATGGATATTAGTGTTCCTATGAGTGATATTTTCATCTGTTAATGACAAAGATAATTATAGAATGTATTAGATTGTTAGTAGAAATCTTATTTTTAAATTTTTAAATTGTATTCATTTTTTCAATCGTTTGATTTTTTTCTTATGACGTTTAACATTGTTCGAGTTTATAAATGTTTTGTCTTGTATATTTCTAGCGGTAGTAGAGACTGCCCTTGGTTCAGTTTTCATTCGTATGTTTGGTATAACAAAAACTTCTTCATTTTCTTCAATTGTTGGTGCATCTTCCCTTAAATCATTTCTTCTAATCTGTCTCTCTTGAGCTTTTAACATATTTGTTTTTGCTTCTAAAAATAGTTTTTGTGCATTACCTATTAATTCTTCTGGGTTATTGATATTATTTAAATTGAACATGATTTCATTAGGTTTCAACTTGGTACTTGAGTGTACACTTTCGTTATATAAAGCGACGGATAATTTAACTATTGACTTCGTTCCCAAATTTTGAAATTTATATTTATTTGAATTAAAGATTTCTATAATGGTTGAGTGGGTTCTCTCAATTTGCCCGTTTGATTCAGATGATGCTGTGTATTCTATACAGCATCCTAATTGACTTAAAAAGTTTCGTAACTGAATTGACCGGAAAGTGGTTTCGTGATCCGTTACTATTTTCTTTGGAACTCCAAACGAACTAAAGTATTTGCTAAGGGCTTTTTGTACATGAGATAGGTTTTTCGTTTTAATGTAATTCATTTGCAAATGTTTTGAGAATGAATCTATTAGAGAAAGAAAACTATGATTTGCTATTATAAATATGTCCATATGGACTCTTTCAAGGGGTTTATCTGTTATAGGCCGTGGGGAAAGTTTTATATTGTAAGGCCTTCTCTCGTACTTGTGACTATTGCATCGTGGGCATGCGTTTATGTAAATCTTTATCAATTTTGTCATATTTGGAAAAAAATATGACCTTCTTATTTGTGCCTCGACTTCAGCTGTACCTCTGTGTGCTCTGTCATGTTCAGTAGAAATTAATAAATTTTGCCTATCTTCGGTGGTAACATCCTCAACTATTTTGGATGTTAACACAAAGTGATCTTTATTCCCAAAGTGTTCTCTAAAACTTTCTTGAATTAGTTGAATTAAATTTTCAGGGGCGAGGATGGCAGATTGTCTACCGTTGTGTAAAGTTTTCAAAAAGTTCGTTACGTCAGATTTCTCATATTTAGGTTGGACTATTATCGTTCTTTGAAAATGTGGAAAAATAGTTTCGTTAATGATTGTAGTAATATTTGCAATTTTGAAGATTATCTGGTTTCGATAATAGTTAATTGGTCTATCTACAAAATGTATATAGAAATCAGACGAATCGTCTGCGGAGTGGACTGTTTCTAAATCTGAGTTTTGATCAGATGAAGGGGGGTTATTTACTTGTGATATTCTATCTCTGTCATCATCCATACCTGAAAAGGAAGAAGATGCGTCATTATTGGATTCACTGGACTCGTTAACATTTATTTCATCAGGCCGCCTGCTCAACGCATCCGCTACTACATTTGTTTTGCCTTCTTTGTATATTATATCAAATGAATAATTTTTCAGATCGAGTGCCCATTGTAAAATTCTGTCGTTTTTGGACGAATTTTTTAAGAAAGTTAAAGGTTTGTGATCTGTTAGTAGTGTAAATTTTGACCCGTAAAGATACGGTTTGAATTTGTTGATGGCCCAAACTATTGCGAGAGCTTCTTTTTCGATGGTGGCGTATCTTGTTTCCGCATCATTTAAAGTTCTTGATCCGAACGCTATTGGTTTTTCTACTTTATCTTGAATTTGAGATAGTACGGCGGCGACGGCATAATCGGATGCATCGGTCGTTAATATAAATGGTTTGTCGAACTGTGGGTATGCAAGTACTTGGTCTGTGGAAATAATTTGTTTCAATGTTGTAAACGATTGAATATACGACGGGTCATTGGGGTTTATGATTACGTCCTTTTTAAGGTATTTAGTCATTGGGCGAGTAATTTTAGAAAAATCTTGTTTGAACCGACGATAATAGCCTGCCAGGCCCAGAAACTGTTTAATTTCCTTTTGAGTCTTTGGTGTAGGCCAGCTAATGATCTTGTCGATTTTTTCGGGGTTTGGTTTTACCCCTTCACTTGAAATAATGTGTCCCAGGAATTCAGTTTGCTTTTTAAGGAATTCACATTTATCCAATTGTATTTTTAAATTGAATTGAGAAAGTCTTTCCAATACACAATTTAGATTTTCAAGATGGTTCTTGAGGTTATACCCGACAATTACAATGTCGTCCAGGTAAACGTAACAAATTGTGCCTATATACTCTCCCAATATATTGTTCATCGCTCGTTGAAATGTTGCTGGAGCGTTTTTTAGGCCAAAGGGCATTCTATTAAATTCAAAATGTCCTTTGTCCGTGGAAAAAGCAGTTTTTTCTTTGTG